CTCTGTGCTTCTTCACCCACACAAACTCGTCACTGAGGGCTGTGATGATGGCCTCCGAACCACCAAACTGCAACAGAGTCAATCGTGACTCCTTATTATAGGCTCAACGTTGAAGAAAAAAGAAGAAAAAAACACCTTTTTTATTTTGAAAATCGATGATAAACATTGTCAGTCGTCTCCACAAGATTCTCTGTCGCATTTTGCTCGTGCAATTAATTCGGACTCTCCAAATTAATTTAATAGTAATTAATAATTTAACAGGAATGATTAAAAATAACCTTTAATAAATAGTACCGATGGATCCAATTAAGACATTTCCTTAGGGCCAGAAGCTATAACCCAGGATCAGGTAAACCACTTTTGGTCACTATAAAGCATAGGAGATAACTTGCAATGTTTACAATCAATTTCAAGATCGAGCACAATACTATCCCTACTTATTTTCCATGTCGGGTATTGGCATGCGTATCCAGGTCTCAACTAAATGCGATTACAAACCATTTCGAAATTACCATGGTTGCCCTATTCGCGTCGGTATATGTTAAAATCGTAATTATCTGTTATTGGGCACATTATTCTAACAAATAGAACGAGTTTCATGACAAAGACATGAACCTTTGCAGTTAAAAAAAATCATTTCTCATTTGAGCTAATAATATATACCACTTACGGAACTGTCAAGTCCTAGAGTGAGCAGCATGAGAAAGAATAGTATTGCCCAGGCTGTCGAACCGGGCATAGTTGCGATGGCTTCAGGATAGACGATGAACACTAGACCTGGCCCTGTTGACACGCGGAAAAATTTCACCTACGTCACCGTATTATAGTAGTAATAGAAGTAGTAGTAATAGTAGTAGTAGTAGTAGTAGTAGTAGTAGTAGTAGTAGTAGTAGCAGCAGCATCAGCAGCAGCAGCAGCAGTAGTAGTAGTAGTTGTAGTCGTCGTCGTCGTCGTCGTCGTCGTCGTCGTCGTCGTCGTAGTAGTAGTAGTAGTAGTAGTAGTAGTAGCAGTAGTAGTAGTAGTAGTAGTAGTAGTAGTAGTAGTAGTAGTAGTAGTAGTAGAAATATATTAGTAATAATATATATATCGAGCACAGAATTGATTTACCGCGAGTAAATAATGCGCATACTTTTCTCCCCGCGAAACGAGTCAGTTTTTACGCGCGAAGTGACATCATTCAAAAGCCCTGCTTCTAACGTCTTCTAACGTCGCCCTGAAGATTAATTAGCCGTGTTCGCGTGACAAGGAGTAGCCGGCAGACATTGTGACACATTACGCTACCAGCCGCCCCCCTGCGGCGAGATTCATAAACATCACTCACCCTTGCCATAGTGCATAATATATTTAGGGCGTCGCGTGAGAGTAGGCCCCTCTGACAGATCAAGCACGCGCGGGTAAATCCGTGACCGACAGGCGAAGTGTCGCGCACGAATGTTTCATTGCGATTTAATCATCAATATTTACGACAGTTAAATATCGAACTGCTGTAGACGAATTAGACGTGAATTCTAGGACGGTCTCCGACAGTATGTGTACTTTCTTCTTACAATACATGGCGCCACCAGCGGCAGTAATTAATTTCCTAATAAAGTACTTTCACAGAAACTGTCCGGGGGCAAACACAGCTTCTTGTATGAAATGTCTATACACTAACTATTCCGCCAAAATCACAACTAGGTTATATAGATCTTACGATGCAAGCAATGTCCAAGAACGTATTATCGCTGGCAATGCACGCGATGGTGTTACATTTACTAATTGCTATGCAAGGGTTTCACAGCCATGTGAATGCGGATGTGGCCTTGGAGTTTTTGGTATTCATGATAACCAGCGAATTCGACTGTCGTTGTGAACCCTAGTAGGGCTGAGAGGGTCTATGTCCCCCAGGGTACTGCTGGAACGTAGCCTGGTACTATCTAATATGCCGGACCGTACCTCGCCTACGCCACTAACGAGTCTAGGGAGTCGCCTACGCCTACTCCCTAACCCTAACCCTAACCATATCAAATAGTTACTAGGGTACGTTCCGGCAGTACCCTGGGGAACATAGACTCTATGAGCCCTAGGCGTAGTAGTAGTAGTAGTAGTAGTAGTAGTAGTAGTAGTAGTAGTAGTAGTAGTAGTAGTAGTAGTAGTAGTAGTAGCAGAAGCAGCAGTAGCAATAGCAGCAGCAGCAGCAGCAGCAGCAGCCCCAGTAGTAGTAGTAGTAGCAGCAGCAGCACCAGTCGTAGTAGTTGTAGCAGCAGCAGCAGCACCACTACCACCAGCAGATGCAGCAGCAGCAGCAGCAGCAGCAGCAGCACCACCACCACCAGCAGATGCAGTAGCAGCAGCAGCAGCAGCAGCAGCAGCAGCAGCAGCAGTAGCAGCAGTAGTAGTAGGCCTAGTAGGTATGGCTGGGCGTACCTTCGGTGGCCACGTCCTTGATGCTGACCCCTGAGCGGTGCGACATGTAGCCGAGCACGGCAAAGATGACGAAGCCGGAGAGAAAACTGGTCAG